ATATATATATTAGGGAAGGATCTACATGGTGTTCAGGGTCTCACTACTAGATCAGACTCTTAGTGACCCACCTGTTTACAGCCTCCCAAGTGCTGAGATTACAGACATGCGCCACCATGCCCAGTCTCAGTTGCTGTCTCAGCATGCCCCGGGAGCAGTCAGCTATTTGGCTGGCCCTTTCATTCTTTCTTGAGCCATTGTCTGCCTATGTCATCCAGGTTAGCCTTGAGCTCAGTATCCCAGGCTCGCCTCCAACTTTTGATTCTCTTACCTTAGTTTTGCAAGTAGTGGGATTATAGGGATGCACTACCTTGCTTGGCTGAGAGCTTGTCTCTTAATTTAAGACCTTGAAGAAAGCTAGACCTGGCCTTACATTCCAGTTGAATTATTTCACAAATAAGGTGTTTCTTCAATTATCACCTTTATCTCTGCAAGTACTGTGAGAAAGCCCAAGATGCTAAAAGAGAATCAGTGTCTGGTCTTCAGCTTGTGTTCTGAAATAATGTTCTTTTCTATACACAATAATGAAGGTAGTCAGAAGAGGCACCTGTCAGTGTGACTTGTTCTCTAAGAGGACATTCATCTTTTCTACCTTTTTGGACTCAAAAGATTGGGGTTTTTTTTAGATCAAAAGATTGTTTTTAGGCCTAGATCTTTCATCTTGTCAAGCTAAGCATTGAAGAATTCTAAATTATTACTGCCGGTGGCACTTCTTAAACCTGCCAATGCCAGAAAACGGTATAATTGAGTGAACTGTTTTAGGCAGTAACTATAGTCTGTTACAAATGGCTCAATTTTTATTTATTTATTTATTTATTTTTACATTTATTTATTTATGTGTGTGTGTGTGTGTGTGTGTGTGTGTGGCCAGCTCAGCCCACCAGGGGGCGGGGCTGGCTGGCATGTGGTACTGGGGGATTGAACCGCGGTCCCTGTGCTTTGCTTGGCTTAGCTTGTTCTAAGTAGGTGCTTTAGACCACTGAGCCATCGCACCAGCCCCTCAGTTTTTATTTAAATTAGACTACTTTCGGCTGTGGAGATGGCTCAGTGGAATAAGCGCTTCCCTGGCAAGTTCAAGGGCCTAAGTTCAGTCGCCAACTACTTTCTCAAAAACTATTTTTGAAAAATTCCGTGATATTTTAGTCCTAATACATAGTAAAAATTTTAATTGTCAGTAGACAATGAAAGTAAATACACCCCAGTGAAAACATTCTTTTGGAATTTCTCCCGCTATCAAAGGAGATCTTACTTTTTTTTTTTTGTGGACCCAGGGATTGAACTCAGGCCCTTGCGCTTGCCAGGGAAGCGCTTATTCTACTGAGCCACCTCCCCGGCTCCGAGATCTTACATTTTTACATTCAGTATTTTTCAGTGCTGTGCCCATTGGGCACCGCCAGTGTGTGGCGCCTCCCTGCAGCACAGTGTCCTCTGTTGCTGCAGGTCACACCTCGTGCCATGCTCAGCACATAGCAGAAGTTCACTCTGTCCATTTTAAAGCCATCAATAGAAAGTCCAAGTAAGATAATTTTTGAAAAGTTCTTTGTAATCTAAAACTTTAAGAGGATTTCCAGCTTTACTAAGCTATTTGTTGTATTTGCAGACACAGCTTTCTACAGGTTGCTACTATAAAACATTGTTTTTGCAAAGACTCTAAAAATACCCAAGAATGCCTCAACTTTTGCTTTTTTTGTGTGGTTTTGTTTTTCATTTTCCCCTTCAAGTAGTTGCTTGACACTGCCACTGTGTTCTTACTCTTCTTAAAGATAGTAATTATAGGTTGGGCTCTTGCTCTGCATTTTTAGAACTTTGTCTACATCCCTGGTAGCCTGTTGAAGTGTTGGTAACTTCAGTGTTAACTTCTCTTTTACTATACTGGCATGTTTCTCTTAACTAGATGTCTTAGGGACAGCCTTAGTGAGGCCTAATGAACTTTGAGACTCCATTCCAGCAAACCTGCTTGGTGTGCATTTTCTCATTGTCATTTCTAGAACCTTTGGTGAACTGATAACTAGAAGGCCTGCGGTTCTTTCCAGTGGAATATTGTAAGTCTGTCCTGGCTCTGCCGTGAAGTCTTTCTGCAGTCTGATTAGGACCGATTGTCTAACTTTTTGTTCTGTGACCTGTCATCCTTGGATTCCTGAATCATTTCTATCTTTGGTATTTTTTTCTCACAGCCCCTTTAGTTTATGGAAGCATTTCTCCTGTAATTAGTTATAAGAGTGACATCTTGTGTTTTATAAAATCATTAATTGTCAAACCTGGGATGTAGACTGTAGAATGTATGAAGAGTTAAGGATTATCTGAATACCCCAATCCAGACTAATATTGGCACCATTATAAAGAGTTGTCTCTAATGGCCTTTGCCCCAGTTGGTGTACCAACGCCCCCCCCCCATAAGAGTTGGTATTTCCACATCCCTCCCCTCCTCTTGCTTTCTGACTTGAATTTAGTTGGTTTACAAACAAGGTCCAGTTAATGACTCAAGGTGTCATTGAACTGGGATAACAGTTTTGAAAGATCAGGAATAGGATTGCTGAGATTTAAGAGTTGGTTGTACAGAGTAGGAAAATAGAACTGGGTGTAGTGGCTCATAGATGTAATTCTAGAACTTTGGGAAGCTAAGGCAAGAGGATCAGAAGTTTGACACTCTGTCCCACAAAATAAAAAATAAAAAGTGGCTGTGGATATAGCTTAGTTGAAGAGGGCCTGGGTTTAATCCCTTAAAAAGAAGAAAAACAGAATTTATCTTCCCATATCTGCTCTTCCCCAAACACATTTAGGCACCCATATCCACACCCACTATGCATTTATTTTATTTTATTTTTATTTTAGTGTGTGTGTGTGTGTGTGTGTGGCCAGCTCAACCCACCTGAGGGCGGGGCTGGCTGGCGTGTGGTGCTGGGGGATTGAACCGCGGTCCCTGTGCTAAGCTTGTTTGAAGTAGGTGCTTTAGACCACTGAGCCATCTCACCAGCCCCCCACTATGCATTTAGTAAGATTAAAATAAACTGATGAAATTTACTTAAATTTGTGCTTTGCTTCATCTGTACTGTCTTTCTCTTCAAAGATGCCAATTCTCGGAAGCAAGAAGCAGAGTGGAAAGAAAAAGCAATAAAGGAGCTAGAAGAGTGGTATGCACGGCAGGATGAGCAGTTACAAAAGACAAAAGCAAACAACAGGTGAGTCCTTGTTCCAGCACTGCTTCTTTTCCAAGGCTGAATCAAGTCCATTTTTCAGCATTCCCTCTAGGCTCTTGGCTGCTGCCTTGTTTTAGTGTGACATGTCTTTGCAGGTGTTCAAGCAAGTAAGTGAAACAGTGGCTGCAAGTCCTCCGATTCATGAGCACGATTTCGTCCTTGAGTCTCCCAGACTGTAGCTGTTTAGCTCTGTAAAGAGACTTTGGTTTGCATCAGCTACAGTGGTGTTTCAGGAAAGGGAAAAATTGTTGCATGTCTCTGTGCAGAAAGTGGAACCTTCAAAGGGTCATTTTCATGAATGGAAAAGGATCCCCTTACTTGGGAGGCGATTATAGACTTGGTCAGGTGTATCCCCTAAATACAGTTCTGCTCTCTAGAAGATGCTTTTTGTGAAGGGGCCCATTAGCATGGAAATATGCTTTGTAATTAGGTAGCCAAGGATAATCCAACACAGTGACTCCAGAATTTAGTTCACTGGATACTTAACTGCACCTAGGAAAATCTTAAACTGATGACTTAACAATGTTTTTTCAGACTTAATTTTTATTCACTTACTTCTGGTTAAATAGTTGTGGGGAGAAAACACATTCATTCTCATCACTATCAGGCAGCAACTGTGGTGTGTAGTACACTTCACTTCTTGGAAGTAGCTTAGAGCGGCACACGCAGCCTGGCTTCCCTGGGAAAGCACACTAGCTCACTTTCTTCTGCCAGGTTCAGAGCCCACCTCCCACTGAGTAGTTGTCGCTCCGCTCACCTGGAGTAAAGACAGGCTGGGGGTGTTCTTAATTTTCTAGATAGAAACTTAGGTTTCTGTATTCAGCCAGAAAGTGGAGTATTGATGTGCCCATATCTCTGGCAGCTCTGTTGGATGGAAGTCTGCCAGAAAGGTGGGCAAGCCACCTCGCCAGCCAGCTGACGTCATATAGCAACTGTGATAGCAGATGTGTCCCTTTGGTCATTTTTATTCTGTTAGCTGCCATTTAGATGTCAGACTCATGCCTCTGTCCTGTCCTGGTCACCTTCCTCTAGGGGATGTATTGAGGCGCGCCTGACAGGTTCCATTTGACGTTTTAGGGCAAGTATGGTGTGAACTGTTTAGTGGTGGGGCTTAGTTGCCAGACATGATGGCTACCATCCAACTGCCTGGGCTTTTGTTGAGCTTGTGGTCGCATGAATCTAGGCCCCTGTGTTGTGTGCTTGCTCAGAATGATTTCCTTAGGTACAAGTCTAGGTCTCCAAAGAAAAATGAGTAAAGTAATATTCCCAGCATGCTACCTCAGCACTGGAGGCTTCTGTGAGGTATTTGGCAGAGTGGGCTGACCTCCCCATATGGGGTCCCTGAGGCTTCAGCACTTGGACACAGATTTTCAGACTTGAATAATATGTTGAAAGTGGGCTTCCTGTTACAGAACCAGGTGTCTGAGAGAGTAAACACACCTGTTGTGAGCACCCAGCCTAAGAGTGTGGGTGTGGAGTGAGGGTTATAATAGTTTCTTTGGTTGGAATTGTATGTTTTGTTATAGTTGTTGTTGCTGCTTTTTTTCTTTTTTAGTGATGCTGGGGACCAACCCCAGGCTCATGCATATGCTAGGTAAGCATGCTACCAGTGAACTACACTCCCAGTCCTGCTTGCAATTGTAGACCATCAGAGGGCTGGTCTCGGGTGAAGCTCTCAAATTCCAAAGAGAAGAGGCTTGTCCCCTACACACTGAGAGCATAGAGCTGTTTAGAAACCAGGTCATTTGCCTTGTGGAAACTGCAGCACACACCTGAAACTGTATCCTTAAAGCTGGTAACACACTCCCAAGGTCCTGGGACAGAAGGGATGCTCTTCACACTTTATTTCAGTCATTCTTCAACAGGGGGAGGCAGTAACTGTTTAAGAATCATTTTGGAGAATTTCTTTCAATGGCATATGCCCTCCCGTGGAGATTTTTGATACTGATTCTCCTCCATTCATGTTTAACTCTAAACTTTAGAGTCTAAAGAACTTGGTGCCATAAATGTCTATAACATGGTTCATTTTCCCTGTTCTGTCTGTGTTTGGGTAACTAGTAAATAAAAACCCAGAAAAGCTCAAGAGTCTGACATAGAAAGGCGTGGAGTGGTTGTCTGTGCCCAGGCAGCCTGCTTTCCAGATGCCCCCCCAGTCAGTCACAAGGTGCTGGTAGCCCCCCTGGGTTAGGCGCTGCGGCGGGCGCTTCCGGGGCACGGAGCTGGTGGGTGAGCTCTGCATCACACGTGCACAGTCTGTTTCGTGTCAGTCCTCAGATAGATGTTGCTGCATAGTCATGAATTATTCAGTGAAAAAGCCTGTGAAAAAGATTTAACTTTTTCAGGAGTCAGAGTAGTAACCAATTCCTGCCATTCTGTCATGGAGAACAACCCCAGAACAGGTTCCTGGCCAAGCCAGAAGAAGCATTCCTTTTCGTTACAGGTGACTGGTGCCGAGACTTGAGCTCTTTGAAGGTGTGGTAAAATTGGGGAATTCATGACTCCCCAGTGGTAGGCTTTTTTTTTTTTTTTTTTTTTTGCATTTCTGCTTTGGGGCTAGTTATAAAGTTGTACATTGCATTTAGACCTCCAGAGCTTGTCTTTGGTCGGGCATTCTTGTCCTTTCCCTTCCTGAGCCCCATCCTGCCAGGCTGACAGTCACGGCATTCAGACCCCGCCCCCTTCTACTGGGTGGGGAGCAGAGAGGAAGTGCTGCCGTATTTAGTGTGTATCATTTTGTTTGTTCTTCAGGATCCGTGCTTGTTACTGAGGAGCTCTTTGGTCTTGGGGCTAGCTGCAGGGCAGCAGAGCCTGACACCCAGGCCCTTGTGGTGGTGGCAGCGGTACCATTAAACTTTAATGCTCTTCCCATTAAGAGCAAGCTCAAGTTGAAATCGATTAGGTGATTCCCTTTGTGTAAACTAATAGGCTTTTAGAGTTCTAAGCTGGCCTGCCTTCCCTTCCCATCCCTCCCTTCCCACTCCTTGGCCCACAAACAGCTCTCTGTTTCCCTGCTGAGTCACTTTGACTTTCAATCAGGCTGCTCTTTGCTTTCTCTAAATTTCTACAAAGTACCTCCTGTGTATAAACCAAAATGGAAGAGAAAAGGGTGTGTGTGAGTTTCAAAATAAACTGAAACTAAAATTACTAGAATTTGTTTTCAGATAAATATCTGTGTTTAAGTTAATGACTGAGCACGATTATCCTTAAAAATCCCCATTGCACTTCCCTCCGCCCTAAGCCAGCTGGGCCAGGTTCCCTGCTCGGCCAAGTGGTTGAGGTTGAGCATGGTTGGGCCCGAGCTTCAGTCTGGGACAACAGAGTCAAAGCCAGCCTGTCCGCTGCGGTGCAGCATCCTCCGCACAGTAGCCCACACCTCCACAGTGTGTCCCAGTGCCCTGCCGTACGGTTCCACTTACCCTGAGTGTAGGGGCAGAAGATGCAGGGAAGGAGCTCTGGATTCTGAGCTGCCCTTCATCCGAGTCTGGCGTAGAGATCTTCAGGAAATGCCCTAGCTTCCTGTGCAGACAGCCTGACTCAGGGACACACAAGCCAGGACTGAATCTAGCGCTCCTTTTCTAGACAACATGAACTCAGCTGCTTTTTTCTCTAAAGTAGCGCTTTTGAAATGATGGTATATATTCTCCAAAGCTATCCCACCGAGCCAGTGTGGTAAAGCAAAACATTTGAATATTCCGGATCTGGGATTAAATCTGTAGGACCATGGGCTTCTGATGGCTAGCAGTGTTCATACCCAGGGATATTTATTTACCCCAGGGCTGGCAGAAAGATGGCTTGGCTTCCCAAGTGCACAGCAGCTTGGAAACAGGTTTAATGTACAGTAAAATGAACCCTGCACTTACGCTGCCACTGCTGTCACTGAACAAGTAGCTTTAGCTCACTGTGGCCTCAGTTGCCACATCTGCAGAATGGACTGAGTGCTCAGTGGCATAGATTGTTTGAAGAGTGAATCAACATACTGTATGTGAAAGGGCTTAGCCCACAAGGGGGTGCTTTCTAAAATGTTGTGGGTAAGTCCCAGATCTGAAGCTGCCAGTGTGCTGCCATGGAGGAGACCTGTGTGGGAGGCCAGTGGGACGCTTCGGCCTGCCTGAGTGTCCGACGCTGGAAGCCTCCCAGGGACTAGGACAGAGCCCAGTCACGCCTCTATTGTGGATTCTAGATGTTACTGCTTCTCAATGTTCTTTCTTTTTTCCTGCCTGCTTGCCTGCCTTTTGGACCTCTTGCTGTCTAGGGTGGCAGATGAAGCTTTCTACAAACAACCCTTCGCTGACGTGATTGGTTATGTGTATGTTGCAAAACTAATTCCTTGTTTTGATTCTATTTTTTGTTTAGAGTTAATGCTCCTTTTATGTCACAAGATGCTTTGTATTTTAAAATATTTCGAATTGGCACTGTGGGGACTGCCTGAGAGTTGATAAAAGTGGGGTGTGATTCATGCTGTTCTTGTAGAATTATCCCTTCCTGCACCTTCTGATGGCCATTTTTCATATTTGGGGTTTTGGAGGGAATCAAGCCAATGCCCTTACACATGTGTGGGTCCGTTCTGATCGTGTCTGGGAAGGCTTAGGACTTGGGTAGACTCTGACCTCTTGCTGTTGCTGCCATTGTTACTGTGACCCTATCGCCTTCCTGCCCCAGGTAGGAAGGGGAAGGTTCTCTACCTGGAAGCAGGTAAAAGTCCTGGCTAGGACCCAGTGAACAGCAGCACCTTGCAGGACCAAGCCAGCTGTGGGAGCTCTGACGCTTCTATGCTCAGTCCTTCAAGAATGTGGGGTGGCTTGCCTGACTTTGAAGTTCAGGCAGGAGGAGTCCAGGGCAGCAGGGGCGTCTCTGGTGGGTGTCTGTCATTGTTTCTCCATGATCTTACATGTCAGAAATCGCTGTTCAGTGGCCAGCTTCAGAAGCCCAACCCTGCATCCTAGCATAAAAAGGTCTAGATACTTGAAACTGTCAGAAATGGGCAATGTTAGCTTTCTCCTGAAATCACATCCTGTTCAGAAAAGTTTCCTCTTGTCAGAGCAGTATAGCTGAAGATTTGGAAAGAGTCCTTGTTGTTTCCTCATTAAAAATTAGGTCTAGCCTTTTATAAAAGGGAGATAGGGTGGAATGGAGGGAGCAGGAACCTGTGGATGGTGGGTGGCAGACTACATTGTGTAGAACCTTACAGGGCCTATGACCTTGATGTTCGTCCCATTATGAGAGCTGGGTTACCTAGGCCTCCAGGTACATTTACAGTGAGACTTGTGAAATGTTGGACTTACAGGTGCTGTTTGATTGGACTTTTACACATTCTCTCTGGAGTAGAAATGGAGACTGGAAAGGTCAAGCCTGGTTTTGCTGGGCAGCAGGGTGGCCCAGCAAAGCCAGCTGCACGTTCCCAAGCATAGGTAGAGTGGCAAGGGCATGTCTAGCTTACTGACCATCTGCATTGAGCTCATTCTCATTTTCTGTATCTGACCTAAAGTTTCTCTCCTTGTTTCTTTTCTTCTCTTCACCTTTAAGCACAAACATAAACCATCCTTGCTACAGCCTAGAACAGTTAAGTAAACCTTTCTCACTGCCCCTAACTGTGTGTGCCATGAAGTCGCAGTGTTGTAGTGGCTCTGGGCTTCAGCGGTGTTTGCCACGGCCATCCCTGTGATAGTGCCACCCCTCTCCCCACAGACCGGTCATCTCCATTGCTTTTGCTTTGCCCGTGGTGCTTGTTGGAGTAGATGATATATATTGTGTCTTCCCGCCTCTTAACCTCTGTCCTTCCGGGCTGTAGCTCCCACCAGTTAGTTTCCGGCTGCAGGTGGGCTGAACTTGATGTGGAAGAACGTTGGAACAATACCTGCCAAACAGCAGCTCATGTGGGCACTCCTGCCAGATTGTGCCCAGTGGCCCCAGGCCCAATTGGAGAGAAAAATGGCAAACTTTGGCTGATCCCAAGAATGTTCTAACAAATGCCCTTCCAGAATGGCTTTAATGTCGATGCCTGCTAGCATGGGAGCTGTGTCTTGAATTCCTTTTGATCTGCCCTATTTCTCTCCAGCCTTCGGAATAAATCTAGAGGCTTTGTGCAATGACCTGTGGGCTTTTTAGAAATCTTGAAATTTTCTTGAAACTCATAGCCCAGCATAAGCTACTGGCCAAGCCTTTGCCCAGCTTATTGCTTTGTTATTAGTGGAAGCAGTATGTAGCTGGCAAATGACTTGCTTTGTACTGCTCTTTAGGAGCGGAGATAGCCCGACAGAGAGAGTGAGCCCTGAACCAAACACCTGTATTCCACCATTTTACACAGCAGCGTGGCACCACATGCCAAGGAGAACTGGCCATGTGTCTGCTCCTAAGCCTGACCTGGGCAGGGACAGTTACTCTTGGGAAAGCCAGGATGACACTGAGTCAAGCGTAGAGAGGCAGCTCCTTTTCTGTAGCAAGGCAGCCAGGAGGTTACTCGAAGAGGGTTCTGCATTAAACCAACATATTTTGTTGTTGCTTCCAGGGCAGCAGAAGAAGCCTTTGTAAATGATATTGATGAGTCATCCCCAGGCACAGAGTGGGAACGGGTGGCCCGGCTGTGTGACTTTAACCCTAAGTCCAGCAAGCAGGCCAAAGATGTCTCCCGCATGCGCTCAGTCCTCATCTCCCTCAAGCAGGCCCCCCTGGTGCACTGAAGAGCCACCCTTGGAGACACTACATCTGCAGTATCTTAATCCTACTCAGTGAAGCTGTTCACAGTAATTGGATTAATTATGTTGAGTTTTTTGGACCAAACTTTTGTCTTTAGAGTTGATCATTGTTTGTGATTGCATGTTTCCTTCAACTGTGTTCTCCCTGGCATTCAGAGAGGCGGGGGGAGGAGGAGGAAAGGCGGAAGCTCCCAACAGTAGCCTCAACCTGTGCTTTTGTGCATTATTCTGAGAATAAATTTGTTTGAAACTATAAATGAAGCTGCTTTATTGACCTCAACATGTGCTGTTGTTTGGAGTGAAGCCTTAACGAATGAGAAATTCTGTGTCATTTCCAGGGCTGAGGAAGCACAGCCATCGGGCACCCAGCCCTACCTTATACTATAATCTAAGTCTCCTTCCTGGAGAAGAATTCTGTAGAAATTTTCATTGGAAAAGGAATTACATGCTAAATGTTATTTCCTTATCACCTACTTCTAAGATACATCCCTAAATCCTCCACTAACCGAGTTAGACATTTTATCCCTTGTCACCATCCCCAAGTTTAGGATCTTGGAAAGTGTATGTCCACAGCAGTCTGTCTGGAGTATGGATCAGTCAATAAACCTGTCAGGATGGCATGAATATGTGCCTAACCCCACTCCTCCCTTCTGTTGAAATTATGTATCATTCCAAGTTCTTGGTTCATAGTTCTCTTGTAAAAAGCTCCATCTAAGCTGGGGCTGTCCAGTATAGTACTCTATAAGCACAGTAGTTATTTACTTAAAAATACATTATTGGCACGAGTCACATTGCCTGTGCTCATTAGCCACGTGTGCGTAGGTATCTGAGTCAGACTGTGCCGATTATGGAACATTTCCTCCCAGAAAGCTCTGCTGGACTTCGCTGATGTACGCAACAGGTGCGTCTAGGAGATGCTGCTGCAACGCACTCATCGTCTGCCCTCGGCATCTCATGCAGTCCGTCACTTCTTAGTTGCTGATACAAGCAAATAATAAAACTGTCATTCAGTAACCTTTTGTTTTTTGTTTTATTTATTTATTTGTGTGTGTGTGTGTGTGTGTGTGTGTGTGTGTGTTTGTGTGGCCAGCTCAGCCCACCAGGGGGCGGGGCTGGCTGGCATGTGGTGCTGGGGGATTGAACCGCGGTCCCTGTGGTTTTCTAAGTTTGTTCTAAGTAGGTGCTTTAGACCACTGAGCCATCTCACCAGCCCCCTCAGTAACCTTTTGCATAAGTTACCTGATATTATTTCCAAATTGGAGATTGAGGTAAACTCTAGTAATACTCAGGCCCATCATCCCTTCACTGCTAATTATGTGTGGAATTTATGTTCCTGCCCTGGCTTCTCGGCTTTCTTTGATCTGGCTCACCCGTGGTCTTTCCCTTTTTATTGCTTTTTAGACAGGGTCTTGCTATGTAGTTCAAGCTGGCCTTGAACTCACTGTGTAGTCTAGGCTAGCCTCAAACTCAGTGATCCTCCTGCCTCAGGTGCTGAGATTACAGGCGTGCACCATCACACCTGACACTTTTTCAGCCCACCCTGGGGCGGGTCTGGTGTGGCATGTGGTGCAGGGGATGGAATTGAGGTTGCTGAGCCCTTGCCAAGCCTTAGACCACTGAGCTATCTTGCCAGCCCAAACTCAAACTTCAGGTTTTTTGTGGGGGGAGGGCATGGTACCAGGGATCGAACTCAGGCCCTTGAGCTTGCTAGGCAAGCACTTGTTCCACTGAGCTATCTCCCCAGCCCCCACACCTGATGTATTCTTAAGTGCTTACTTAGAGGTTCTAGTTGGGGAGCACAGCTGCTCATATACCCTTGACTACTGAGGAAGGTTCCTCTCTCAGGGGTGGTCATCCTCTTTGAACACACAGCTTTGGGGGAGGGATGTACAAGGAACAGTGAGGGGGAAGGAGACACTGGTCTAGCCAGCCACATCAACCAAATTAACCCTGGCCATCGTGAGGTGACAGGCTGCAGCTAGATCACCTTCACAATCCCTGGCACATTCTAATTGCACTCAGGCAGTCAGTGTCACTCATCGACCACTGTTCCATCTACGTAGTGCCATTCAAGAGGTCAGAATAACTGAAGCACCAAAGGCCACCCCACCTCAGGGCCTTCCCTGGTCCCTCTCTCACAGTGATGACCCTCTGCCTGATGAGTCATATGAGGGAATGCAGCTATGGCTTAGTGGGAACACACTAGCTGGTAGCCCTGAGCTATCGTGTAAAAAGCTCTAGCACAGTGATGGGGACTCTTAGAGCTCTCAGGGACAAAGCCACCCACTGAGGTGTGAGTGCCATAGGATCTTCCCCACCTCTATGGCACATGAAGCTGCGCCACCGTGAGGAAACCAAACTAGCCCACGCAGAACACCTGAGAGAACCCCTAATGACTGGTTGGGAAAAGTGGCTGGCCAGTTCCTAGATCCCAACTCCTGTTCTACCCCAGCCACTAACAGGTGCAAGACCCTCTGAGGCAGACCTGCCACATGTAGCTATATCTCCCAGATTCTGGACCCACAGAAACTGAAAGCGAAACAGCTGTCGGCAGCTGTTTCAAATGTTGCACAGAAGTCAGACCTTGGGGTTTGCATTTTGTTGCAGTGCATTTTACCAACCTGGGGGCTGCAAAAAAGGAGGAATCTAGATGGTGTGGGAATTAATTCAGTGGGTGCTCAACATTTAGGGTTTTTTTTTTTTTTTTTCTGTATTTAGGATAGGGTGTACAGGGTCTCACTACACAGATCGGACTCACAGTGATTCTCCTGTTTTCAGCCTCCCAAGTGCTGGGATTACAGGTGGGCACCACCACGCCCAGTCCCAGTCTCCATCTCAGCGTGCCCGCAGGCAGGGCCAGCACAGCGCACCAGTCATGGAGCCCCGGCCGCTGTGCTCTGCCTCAGCAGGCACATTAGTCCACTGAACTATCAGGCTGGCCCTCAACACAGTTTGAAACCTCTTTTAGAGACTTTACCTTTTTAGCTCAAATTTTAAATGTTACATAATTGCTTTCTATTAATAGGCTGTTATTAAGAAAACACATGCTAGGGGCCAGAGATGGCTCAATAGAATAAGCACTTCCCTGGCAAGCGCAAGGGTATGAGTTCAATTCCTGGTTCCGCCAAAAAAGAAAAAAGAAAACACATGCGAGATGACTTAAGTTATATAACCTTAAAAAAATCCAGTAATACACATCTCTGGGAAGGGAAATCCGTAAGGATGAAACAATATGCAACTGTTATAGTTTCAGCAAGCACAAATATATTTTTCTTTAGAATTTGGCTCAGAACAGTAACATAAAAAATATTTACATTAAAATAAATTAGGGGATGTGATTAAACAGTTAATAATTTATGTGAGAATATTCTACAAATTTAATAAAACCTAAGATTTGGCTTTTGATTCAGTACCATCCATTGCTTCACCTATTTGGCATGAAACTTGGTAGCAGCACAGTTGTTTGGTGTACAGTGGTAACAGCTTTAACCAAGGCCCCACCGATGTCCCTGCATGCTGGACCAGCTCTCTCCAGACACTGGACACTGGCGCCTGAGCCACCCTGAAATGCTGAAACAAAACCAGGCCCTGGAGACTAAGGTCTGGCAGAGTTGTCAGAATCAGCTGTCATATCTTTTTAATATTAACTTACTGGGAAAGAAAGCATTCAAATGTGATACTGATTAATTTAATCGTATATCAACATTTGAAATAATACATTATGGAAACCTTCAGGCATTTCTAAAATTAAAAAAAAAATTTCTTTGAAAAACATATGCATGTTTTAGATCTACAAATATTCATAAAACCTTGTCAGAAGACCAAATACTGTACTGGCAAGATTTCAGTAGCACTGAAGAATATTTGATGAACTTTACCGCTGAGAAATAGGGTCAAAAATAGTCATCTGCCAATCAGATATTCTTATTAAAGCTTTTGTTAGCCTAAATTGAGTGTATTAGCATTCTGAATGTGTTTTTGAAATGAAATGTGTGGCTTAGCAAAAAGAAGGGACCTTGCATCAAACCTTTTATACTCATGAACCCAGAGCTATAGGGATGTCATAGAAACACACTTAAGTCTTGGGTTCGAGGGTCGTGAGAGCTTAAGAATGTATATGAAGCACCTAGTTCAGAGCCTGATACACAGCAGGTACTGAATAAGCAGTTGCAGTTAGCATTTCTTCTAGGTTGCAGTTAATAGAACTCTTGTGTATGTTTTGCCATTAATTAAGAGTACTTTAGTCAGAGTCCAGGGCTGTCAGTGTAACACATACAAACACGGCTGTACAGACTCTCTGGGGTCATAGGCTACGGAGAATGAAAAGCTACTGAAGGGAGCAGTGTCCGCTGGTCAGCAGCAAAGACCCTTCTGGGGTAATCTTTCAGAGGTTCTTAAATCCTAGTGGCTTCTTAGAAGCCACTTCTTAGTCTCTAAGAAGATAAGGACAAGGTCACTCAGGCCACTGTAATTCATATCCCTGGTCTAAAGTCTCCTACAAGTTTGCTAGACTAAGTAACATTTTTCCACAGAAACATTTGGGGGTGACATAATATCCACTGTCTTGATTACTATGATGGTACCAAGGTAAATACATAAGTCAAAGCTTATTAAATTGTATACTTTAAAAATAATTCAATAAAATCGTTTTTGAAAAGTATAAAAATAGCCAGGAAGACAGCTCAGTAGCATAAGTGCCTGCCTGGCAAGCACAAGGTTCTGAGTTCAATCCCTGGTTAAAAAAAAAGTTTAAAAAGTCTTTCCTGATAAGAGTTCCTTCTATTCGGACTGATTTTCCCCCTCTGATGATGGCTGCGCCTTTAAGGAAGGACTGTTAACCAGAATACACTCATGAAGCTCGCATCCCAGAGCAGGCCTGCAGGTCTCAGTGGTACCTCGGCAGGCAGAGTCCCGAGGCTTCTGGTCTACTGCTGTGGCTCCTTCTGGCACAGGAAGTTGTGGCTAGAATTTATAGGGTTTAACACTACAATGATTCCTATGAGGAAAACATCAGAAAGCAGCATCTACAAAAGTTGGGTACAGGAAAAGGCAAATGTGGAGGACACAAAAACAAAAGCACTCTGCCAATAACACCTGCAGTTAAATACCAAATTTGCTTTTTAAGACATGTCCATCTAATAGAGAAGTTGGTTCCACTAAGGCGCTCTGGAGTCTCTGTCCAGTTCACTGTGTGAGGCCTAGTGGATCCTGCGCGTTGTGTAGTCCAGAACCATGCTGGCAGCACCAAGCAGGGCGGGGTCCACCAGATCTGAAACCACCACGTCCACATCCTGCACCGAGGACAAGGCCTGCTGGCGGATGACGTCTTTGACGATGTGGATGTAGTGACTGGCCAGGACGCCAGACAGGATCACAAGTGAGGGGTTCATAGTATGCAGGATGTTGACAACCCCAAGACCCAAAGCCGTTCCAGCTACGAGAAAATAAAAATAATTTTACAGCACAGAGCTAAGTCAAAAGAAAATAACCAGTGGCCAGTAATGGTAAAATTCATACTACATGGTAGGAAGCAACATTTTATTTTTGCTGGGGAGTGGTCCAAAGCACTCACATGTAGTAGACAAGTACTCTACCAATGAGCTATATCCCTAGAAAGAAGCATTATTTTAAAGGCTGTTCTTGCTTGCTTGTTCTCATTCTCTCATTCTCTTTCTTGATGAAATGTATTACTATAGCTGGCCTTGAACTACTAGGCTCAAGGGACTCTTCTACCTCAGCACCTCCTGAGTAGCTAGGACCACCAGGCACATACCATAATTTTCTTTTTCGGTACAAGGTCTCCTCACACAGTTGTCCTCCTGTCTTAGCTTCCCACACATACCACAGCATGCATTACTAGGGATCGAACTCAGGACCTTGTGCTTGCCAGGCAGGCGCTTATGCCACCAAGCTATCTCCCCAGCGCCCATAATTTATTCTTGATATGAGAAAACTATTATGTGATTTTTTGAGATAAGGTATCACTGTAAAACAGGTTGGCCTCAAACTTGCTAGGCAGTCAAAACTGATTTCCAATTCTTGATCCTCCTTCTGCCTTAGCCTCCTGAGTGCTAGAATTATGGGCATGTACCACTATACCTGGCTTATGTGATATCTATAAGTGAAAATATGTGGGGTATAAAACTGCCTGTATGTGGCTGGTATGTACCTGTAATCCCAGTACTGGGGAGGCGGAGGCAGGAAGATTGTTGTGAGCCTGAGGCCTGGACTACATAGTTCAAGGCCAGCCTAAACTACCATATAGTGAGACTGCCTCAAAAAACAAACAAAAATTCCTGTACTATACAATATAATCTCAGCTATGTAAAAAATTAATAAAATAAAAAGATTGGAAGAAAACTGTAATAGTTGATATTTCTGAATAGTAAAATTCTTAAGTGATACTTTTTCTTACTGCTCACCTGTATTTCTATAAATATTCTATAAAGTAGAATAGTCTATAAAGTAGACTATCCTATTATTATTTTCAATAGTTGTAAAAGCAAATTAAGGGGGCTGCCAAGATAGCTCAGCAGACTTAAGCGCTGGCTTAGGCAAGTGCAGTGACCGGAGTTCAGTCCCCCACACTACATGCTGCGCCGGCCCCACCTCCAGGCCTGGTGAGTTGGCCACCGAAACTGGGCTTGGTGGTACACGGGGAGACTACAAATGGTAGGATCACTACAAGTCCGAGCTGCATAGTGAGAACCTGTACCAAATATATTAAAAAAAAAAAAAAAAATCAAGAACCTGTTTCAAAAGGCAATGCTAATCGGACATGGTGGTGCACACCTATAACCCCAGCACCGGTGAGGCTGAGGCAGAACTGCCATAAGCATGCAGTCAGCCTGGGCTACACAGCAAGACACTGTCTCTAAAAACCAATGAGAGAGAAAAGAAAAAGGTAATGTTGACAAATACTGTAAATGCATTTCCATTTTCCTCTCTCAATTTCGGGAGGAAATACCTCTGAACAGACAATGCAAAGCGCCATGCCCCAGGGGAAACCGCCCCATGTCTGCGGGCACTCCCTGCGGCACCACTGCAGCAGCACTGACCTGTTCTTAAGATGCTCTGGGCCTTCGCATTGCCAAGTTTTGCAGCTTGGATGAGATGAAGGGCACTCACAGCTTCGTCTTTTGGCACTGACATCCCTTCCACCAAGAGCAGGTCCTCTGAGCCAAGCAAGGAGAAGCAGTCATTAGTGCCTACTTCCAGTGAGCCCCTAAGTGAGAAGGGGTTTCTTTTCATAAAGGCAAAGCCACTTGCTATAAACATCCATGAACACTGCCCCCAAAGCCCCTGCTGCCCTCTTGTTACCTGGTTCTACATACATAAGCCAGAATTTCTCTAGCTGGAGGATCCTCAAGCCTTCCCACAGCCTCCTTCCCTCTGGCTCCTCCACTTCTCAGTGGCACTATTTGACAGAGTCCTTGTGTGTCCTCTTCCCCCACCCCCAGATGATCAGACCCCTGCACTTGGCTCCTTGCTCCGCCATCCCGGGTAAGGTGCTCCACTGTGCCCCGGTGCCCATGTTCTATATCAACAAGGCATAGTGGCCAAGGGACAGACGCAGTTGCAGCACAGCCACTGCTAGCTCCATGGCCCTGGCCATGTCACTTCACCTCCATATATTTCTCTTTTCTAGAAGACCAGGGCAGTAATACCTAGATTATTCTGAAGACTAAATGAGATAATGGACACAAAGTACTTACAGTGCCGGCCAAGGTAATGCTAAATAAGCGGCAGGAGTTTCTATTAACCAGTCGTTCTCTTCCCATCGTTGCCAACCCAGCTCAATCTGCCACCTAATCTGCTGCGGGGCTCTGAAGTTAGTCCTCACCTGCTACCTAGATGCCAGCTGGTGCTCTCTTATTTCTGGGCCTTGCAGCTTCCAGTCCTCTCCTGTTGTCTCTCACTACTCTTTGCCAGATTTCCGAACTTCTTACCTCAGTTAACAGACACATGGGGTCCCGTACTTTTTGCCCCCACATACACATACCACAGCATCTGCATATCTTCGCTCTCCTGGCCCTCAGGCCCTCCTGCTGTGCAGTCCTCACTTCTCCCCACCTGTTAGGAACTGCACGCTGGTCCTCCGCTGCATGCTCCAACTTCACTTCCATGCACTGTCTCCATCCCATCAGCCTATGCTCACACATTTTTTTTTTTCTTTTTTTTTTTTGTGGAAGTGAGGATTGAACTCAGGCCCTTGCGCTTGCCAGGGAAGCACTTATTCTACTGAGCCATCTCCCTGGCCCCTCACACATTCATTTTGAAAGAAAAAAAAAAAAAAATCTTACTAATTTTATGTATAATTGTCTTTTGGGGGGGAGGGTACCAGGGATCGAACTTGGGACTTTGTGCTTGCCAGGCAGGCACTTGTACCCCTGAGTTATATCCCTGATGCATTTTGAGGGAAAAGAGTTATTAGAGAAACCCATCTGAAAAGGTTGTTAAAACATGGTTCAGAAGTGAAGTTTTTAGGGACTATATGATGTCCTAAGGGCCAAAGATGGGACTTTCCCAGTGTTCCTACACCTAACATAGCTAACCAGTCCTCTCTGAAACACCCTTGCTTCTTGGGCTTCCGTGACAGCTCCCTTTGGTGGCTTTTCTCTCAACTCTCCCTGTTCCTCAACTGCCCTACTTCCCAGGTCTCACTCCATCCTGTTTGCTTGTTTGGAGACAGGGTTTCACTATATAGTTCAGGTTATAGTTGAACTCACCATGTAGCCCAGGCTGTCCTCAAACTTCTGGTAAACCTCCCATGTCAGCCTCCTCAATGCTAGGACTCGGGCATGTGCCGTCACACCCAGCCTCACTACCATCTTCATACTGCACTGATGAAGCCCAAGTCCCTCTCGCTAGTCCAGTCACCCCTCTGAGCTACAGATGCATTTCCAGCTGCCTCCTGGATATTTTCACCTGGATGTCCCTTGTGTGCACAACCACCATTCCGCCTAAACCTGTTCCTCCACTTTCATTCTCAACTCTTGAGTTGTCCAACCAGAAAACTGGAAGTCACTCTAGAACTATCCTTATAGTCATCCTCCACTCAACTCTCATTCCCATCCCTAGAAACTAAGTCAGTTTGATGAATCTAAAATTCAGATCTACAGCTTTCCCCTAAGCTTTTTTTAATGCTTCCTCTGACCTGCTGGCTCTGCTTCCCTCCTGCCTCACTGTACTGTGGCTTGCCCTTTCTGCACCCACACCAGTGTTGCCACGCCCAGAACATTGGTCATCCGAATTTGCCCGGCTAATGGGACAGAGGGGACTTCCACGTCCTTATGTGCATCAGTGTTCCTTGGCCATCGTTCTCAACAACTGGCATACTGTGTTATAATGATAATATGTCTATAAATACCTTTAATTCAAATAGTCTCTCAGTGTTCAACAACTGTAAGATGTTCATCCACTTAATTCATTAAAATGTATAAGTATCCACACTGCTGATGATTGAGAAAACAAAACTGAAGCTCTAGGCCTCTCACGGCCCCAAAGGCAACTTAATAATGCACCCTTAAATGGATTTCCTCCTGCTCCACCGCTGCACTCCCTCCATCCTGCATTGCAGGGTCACCTCCAAAACAAAATATGTGTAGCTTATGCTGGCTCAGCTGTGAGGGAAAGCCAAGAGAAGCCCTCTAACCCTGGAGAGGAAGAGTCAGGAACAAGGACACTGGAGCAGCCCTGCTCCACCTTGAGGAAGTGAAAAGCTTGGAAGTTCTGGCCTCAGTGCTCAGTTCTTTCTAGAACTTCTACTTTGAAGTGCTTATCTTTTACTTGGTCCCTTAATTACTAAGAAGATACCAACCATCATGTAGCTTTTTTGCCTCCCTCTGCAAGGCCATTCCAGAAGCATATGCTTCAATGCACCCATGGCTCCCACAGGAACAATCAGGCCCGTCCAGAGACACCACCAGGTGGCCAAGTTCTGCAGCACAGAAGGAGCTTCCGTGGATCAATTCGTGCTGATGGATGATTCCGCCACCAATTCCTGTAGTGAGACCTGATAATCACTGATAGGCACTTTGCATGGAACAAAACTATGATCTGCCAGGTGTGGTGGCACACACCTGTAATCCCAGCATTTGGGAGGCTGGGGCAGGAGGCTCGCTGTGAATTTGAGACCAGCCTGGGCCACAAAGTGAGCTCAAGGCCAGCCTGAGTTACATAGTGAGACCCTCTCAAAACAACACACACAAAAAATTGATACGACAGTGCCTCATCTGTTTAGCAAAGCTTTGGGTGCATATATGATGCCTTCTTTCCTACGCTTATGAAGCACCAAAACTTTATCTAGCAGAATTTTTTGTTTTTTACTTTTAAATTATTTGTTTGTTTATTTGGTACAGGGTCTCACTACACAGCTCACGCTCCTAGTGATCGTCCTGTTTCAGCCTCCCCAGTGCTTGGATTGCAAGTGTGCTCCAACACGCCTGGGTTCAATGGCTAGCACAGCATACAGTATCAGGGGTTGAATATAGATCCTTGCACTTGCCAGGCAGATGCTTAGACTGTTGAGCCATCTCCCCAGCCCCATCTGGCAGCATTTGGAGAAGAACTTTTTTTTTTTTTTTTTTTTTGGCAGTACCAGGGATTGAACTCAGGGCCCAGCGCTTGCCAGGCAAGTGTTTATTCTATTAAGCTATCTCCCCGGGCCCTTTAAGAACTTTATTGTTCAACTTTTTTTTTTTTTTAATCCCATATAAGGGATCAAACTCGGGACCTTGTGCTTGCCAAGCAGGTGCTTAACCCACTGAACTATCTCCCCAGGCCCCCGGCAGCATTTTGAAAGGAAATATTTTTAGCAGATCTGATCCCATGTCAAATCTGCTTGGTTCACCATAATCTCAGAAAAGGCTGTAACAGCCAGTTCAGGGCATCTGACGAAGCCTTGGCTGATGGGACGCTCCTATAGGCATACACCAAAACCTACACTCAAACAGGTCTCGTCAGCTACACAGGCCTCCCCCAGCCAGGAGAGCTCGGCCAGCAGGTATAAAAAGGAAATCCCCAATGGTGCTCTATAGGCGTTTCCAGAAACAGCAGCCCTCACTGCCCTTGCAGCCACCCGATAATGCATCCTTTAGTCACTTTCCTCCTTTTCTACCTACCTCCTGCTTTTCAGGATCATCTCCAAAGAAAACACCTGTACCTAAGTGATGGCAACCACTACGAAGTGGCTCTGAGCAGGATTTAAATTAACCAACTGGCTTTCCATGTTTACCTGCAAGTCTGTCCAAGACCCAGGCTCCTTATCTGGAGATGGGCGGCAGGTTTGTAGTAAGTGAACTGCTATGAATCACTCGTCCCGGCTGAGGCCTGTAGTAGCCTGTGAAGCTGTGTCTCAAAGGACAAGACAAAGCCATAGCTAAGGACATCTGATTCCAATCCTAATTAACTAGATAAAGACTGTAATTGTAGGCATCTCACTCCTGTGGTGAAGGCCTTCCTGGAGGTAACACAGTTCCCCTAAATTAACATAATGTATTACTTGGAAAAGTCCTTGAGTGGACTTCCAAGGTCCTTAAATAGTCCTGCAAGACTCCTACATTTCTGCAGTATTACCCTCCTTTGCTTGATAACTACATAAATATGGCCAAGTTGTTAGCCTCCAAAGAATCTTGAATTCTGTTAGAGGGCTTTGAACCTCCTGGAGCCTTAACAATCATACCCCTTGACTTATTTAAGCCTTCACCATACATTTGTTTGGGAGATTTCAGGCCTGACTGGTCTGCAATAACAAAGGGATAATATTAATACGTTATCTAAATCCTTGTGTTAGGCTCTGCTTAGAGAGAAAGTTACAGTAAAAAATTTTTCTAAGCTGGGTGAAGTTGTACACATCTGTAATTCCAGTATTCTGGGAGAGTGAAGATGGAGGACTACCAAGTTAGAGCCCAGCCCAGGCAACTTAGTGAGACCCTACTTCAAAATTAATAAAGAGCCAGCCAAACAGCTCAGCGGATTAAAGCACCTGCAAGCAGGTGCAGGGGCCAGGGGCTCAATACCCCCAGGGCTGGCCAGCCCCACCCCCAGGGCATGCTGAAACAGCAATTAAGACTGGGCATGGTGGCAGAAGCCTGTAATCCCAGCACTTGGAAGCCTGTAAACAGGAGAATCACTATGAGTCTGATGTAGTAATGAGCCTCTGAACACCCTGTAGACCCTTCCCTAAAATACAGGGAAAAAAAATGAATGAATGAATGAATGAATGAATGAAAGAAAGAAAGAAAGGCTAGAGGTATAGCTCAGTACAAAGTACACTCTCCAGTACTTGCCCACCCTCCAAAAAAACTAAAACGTTATCACACTGCATCTGCTTTTAAAGAATATGAAATACAATTTTTGCCTCTTCTTGATGCTGCCATGTCCAAAGATCTATGAAGCAAATGTTACAAATCTAGCTTTCTGGTCTCAGCAGCACAGGCAAGATGATGAAAGCAACGTCATCTCTTGGAAGGCATCGTGGTAAGACGCACACACTGTGCTGCCGCTACGGCTCTGAGCCTACCACCTTCAGAAGTGGACCTGGGGCAAGCGTGGCTGCCCTGCCAAGCACAAGAGAAAGTACGGCTGAGGGGGAAGGCTAAAAGACAAAATACCACTGAACTGGGCAAAGGAGGCACCTAAAAATCGTACACAGCAGATTCAGGCATGGATTCCCTGAAGGAACAAGATCTACACCCAAAAGAAGCTGTTGCCAGCATCCAGTTCATCTTGAGAATCTGAGGGATTACTCAAAATAAATGCTTTGGTTTTAAAAGATTTTTTTAAAAGTTATAAATTTAACTTTGTAACTTGACTGTTGTTTATTATGAAGTTTAGGAGTTACCAAGGAGTAAAGGACATTTGGCCTTAGAAGGCTCTGCTTTTAGGAGATGTCCTGCCACCCCACCTGTCCGATGTGCAGCTTTTTAACTACTCTGACTAGGAAAAGGTGTCCAAGCTAAGAGGAAGTATATGAGTACACACTCTAAGGGGAGGTAGTATAAGGCAGAATTTAAGTACCCCTGAGTTTTAAAGTAAGGCATATCTAAGATGAAATGCTGGCTCAACCACTTAGTGAGTCTGTGTCCTCATTTAAAAAATAAATTAGGGCTGGCCAAATAGCTTAGTGGATTAAAGTGCCTGAATGCAGGCACAGGGGACAGGGGTTTGATCCCCAGGCCTGCCATGCCGGCCCCACCCCCAGGGCACACTGAGATGGCAACTGAGTCTGGACGTGGTGGCATGAGCCTGTAATCCCATCTCTTGGGAGACTGTAAACAGGTGGATCACTATGAGTCCAATCTAGTAGTGAGACCCTGAACACCCTATAGACCCTTCCCTAAAAAAAAAAATAGAATAAAAAATAAATTATACTTCTTAAACATACATTGTAATGGGTGATGCACTACATCAACTTGAGGAGTTTAGAAGCTTAACTAAGTAACTGGGCAGCTCTACATCCTGGGTGTAGAGAACATGCCCTAGGGAGGCTGTTTTTTTTGTTTTTGTTTTTGTTTTTGTTTTTGTTTTTGTTTTTGCAGAACCAGGGATTAAACTCAGGCCCTTGCGCTTGCCAGGAAAGCACTTATTCCACTGAGCCATCTCGCCAGCCCCAAGGAGGCTGTTTAAATTCTAAGATGTTATAATGGTTAATTCATTGTGTCTTGAGAAGTTCAGAAGTTTAACTGTCTCAGCAGAGGTCCTGGATTCTCACTTTATAAATATCCTCAAGCTGTGCAAGATGAGGGCAGGCGATGGTGTGAGTGCTGCACCCGACCTAGGGCAGGTAGCCTGCATACAACGAAAGGGGGGAAAAGAGGCTTGTCCTCCCCTTTTGCTCTTGGTTTTGCTATCTCCTGTCATTATAAACAGTTGCCCCTCTGCCATGCCACCCTGCTTTGTTTTGGTAGTGGGGATTGAATGTGGGACCTTCTGCGCGCCGGCAAGCACTCTACCACTGAGCCACATCCCCACCCTGTTACCTTGCTTTGGAGCCAGCTAATTATGGACCAAGAACCCTACAAAGGTGAGCTAAATAAACCTTTTTAACTTGGGCATCAGGTATTTTGTCTCAGCCATGACAGAAAAGTGATTAAGACATATACCATGAAAATAAAATTAAAAACAAAACACTAGCAAAACCAAATTAGGATATTTATGAAAATCACAAGGCAGTGAATTCCAAAAATGCATGCTGCCAGTAAAACAATGAACAAACTGGGAAAACAAAATCCACTTTTTTTGGAATCTAAAAAGGAAACAAAAGCTTGTAACAAGAAGGGTGGGGAAGGGGCAGGAGAAAAGAAAATCTGCTGAATCCCAGTAAGCGAGCTTTCTGGAGTTTTAATTTACTCTGGTCCCATCACCCATTTCCCAGTTTGGCAGTCACCTTGAACAACAGCCGCATTTCCATCACTGTACACCAATAACTGAGAGAACTGAACTGACTTATGCTCAAAAATTGTGGGTAATTATTTTGACCTGCCTCGTTGCAAACGGAGGAGCAGTTTAAAGGTTTGCTTTTATACTCACCTAACTGGCAACTAGGGGAGTTGTACAGAAAGGTTTGTAAAGAACATTTAGGGGAAATAGCTCAGTGGCTTAAGCACCTGCCTGGCAAGCACAAAGTCCTGAGTTCAATCCCCAGGACCCAGAAGAGGAAAAACTGGTAAAAATATCTTGGGCTAGGGAGATAGCTTGGCAATCTACATGCCCGCCTGGCAAGTGCAAGGTCCTGAATCTAATCCCCTGTACCACATGCTGTGCTGGCTCTGGGACCCTGGGTATGCTGTGTTGGCCTCAAAACTGGGTGTGGTAGCACACAACTATAATTCCAGCACTAAGGAGGCTGAGACAGGTGTATCACTATGAGTCTGAACTGTGAAGCGAGATCCTGTATCAAAAAATTTTTATTTTTTTTAAAAGAACATTTAAAGTTAAGTTTATTAGTCTCTGCTGCCTAGAATAAAGCATAACAGCTAGACATGTAACAGACTAACCAAAAACTGAAAGGAAAACTGAGGAATGAGCAGCTTTGAGAAATGAGCACTCTGAACATCTCTGAAAGTTCCTGGGAACTTAGCAGTCTACAGGTATGCCTGGGGCTGGGCATAACATGCTCAGAAAGACTGGCAAGGCCTTACGAACTCATGTCTTAGGGCTCTTCTCAAGCTGCAGGTGAAGCCCAAGGCAAAGTGGTAACTGCCTGAGTGAGGAATGAAGACTTGTGGGTACAGGTTCTAGTCCCTGAAGCAACCCTCCCTGCCCCATCATACCTGTGCCAGTGATAAGTGTTACGAAGTTTTCCAGTCCCTTTCCTTGACCAAATTTCCTCTCTGCCATGGCGGCACAGTTGCCATCATTGTCTACCCACACGGGAAGATGCAAAGTGTCAGACAGAGGGGTTCTGAGGTCCACAGAGTTCCATTCTTGTATGAGTTTGGTTGAATGCAGGACGATCCCTTCCTGAGGGTTAACGCGGCCACCTGTGGAAATGCCTGTGCTCCACCACAAATACAAGAGAAGTAATTCTGATTAGCAATGTTAGGAAATAGTGTCCACTTCCCTTAGCTCTGAACATAAATTATTGCACCCAACACCTCCTAATACAAACATTACCAAGAACTATGAGAACATATCACAGTGTGATGACCTAAATCTGTAACTCCCCCCAGATGTACAGAACTATCAATGCTTCTCCCATGATGCCTGCTGATTCTAGAAGTCCCCATGTTTGTGGCCAGACAGGAGCTAGAACCACCTATACACAGGACAGACACGGATGTGATGTTCAGTGAAGCAACAGGACTTACTAGACTGTGTACATTAGAGTGAGTATTTCTTGGATTTATAATGCGCACTCACCTACTCCCAAAATTCTGCAGTTCAATTTCACAGCCTCTGCTGCAGCTTCCACACACATCTGTAGGATTAAATTAATCCTCTCTTCATAAGTTTTCGGATTGAACTGAGTATACTTCTTAACTATTTCACCCTAGAAGAGAAAACACAAAACCTCTCACTAATCTTAACTGAGGATCGGACTTTCATTACAACATAGACACTGCTATGGGAAAGGTGCTACAGACTGAGATGATGGCTGGGAGGGGAGGAGCAGCTGGGTAGCCTGCGCAGTGTCAGGGCTCCCTCCTGCACAGGGTGGCTGGAACCAGGCAGCAGCACAGCCAGCGGGTAGGCCCCTCTGAAGCCTAACATGAATGCTGAGTAACCTGAATCTAGTTTTGATAAAAAGGCATAGTTCATTCTTTCTGGCTGACAAAATTTTATACTGAGGCAAAGTATCCTAGATAGCTATATTTTAAACACCTCCTATAATTGAAGCCAATACTGCTATGAATACTTTTGTTTATTCAGGATAAATTTCCATGCTGGCCAGGTCAAAGACTGCATCATTTATATCACTGTGCTTTGGAGTTATGTTTTAATACTAAATAGGTTAATCTCTCCTAATTATTGGTTTTACATTTTTTCTTTGCTCATCTCATTTATTATTTTAACTAAGTTTCAGAAATGTCTTTACACTTTTAAAACTCCCACTGATTTTTTTCCATAATTTTATTGAGAAACAAATAGCAATGAGACAGTTTCAAACCAAATTGGTAGGACAGTTTCAATAATTAACACATTGCACACATTCCTCCCAGTGGTTAATTGCTGTACAAGATGCGGACATGATATCCTATTTACAAACACCATTAGAACAAATCCCTCTATTCATTAAGAGAGCATAACTATATATCTAACCTACTTTGAATACACAGATACAAAATGGACATTCATCTGTATCCCCTTTTTTTGCTAAGTTCCACCATTTAAATATTATAGGTGTGTAAACTCAGCAAAATATTCTAAAAGAGTTCAGTAGTCCATAGTAGTATTGGGTCTTCTGCTTCACTGGCAATGTCAGAAATTGTTGACCTGAGTCCCCTACAGCTCAACATCTCCTACCGATTTTTATGATAATCTGTTTTACTTTAAAAATCCAGGGGACATGCTGACTAATGTTAAATTTATGATACAATTTGGGAAATGCAGACATATTAAAATATTTAGCACTTTTGGAGTGAGACGACCAGGGGCCCACCAGATCCTGAATAGACCCAGAGCCAGGCCCAGCGAGTGAGTGAGACCACCCAGGACCCCCAAGTGTAGGCCCAGCGCAGAATCCTTCAGCGGAACTCCCTCAAAAGAGGCTAGAGGCAAGACCCACCCAGCTGATTCAGGAGCAGAACATCTTGCCAGAGAGACACAAAGGGTTCAACTCTAATGGCTGCAGCAGAAAGAAGTGGAGCACACAGCCAGATCCAAACAACACCCACCTGTGCTCGCTTCGGCAGCACATATACAAACAACACCCACCAGGAGGAATCGGAACTTCATAGGTCCAGACCTGGTGCTAAGGTAATAACTCTATCTAAGCTCTACACCAAAGGTCAGAAGACAGGTATACAAAATGACAAAGAGAAGGAACAAAATGCAG